TGAAAGATGTTTTGGAAGTATCACATTGTGCACTTAGTTGGACAATGTGATCTGCACTAATAGAAGGGAGGGAATATTCTATACTTCAGTTATATTGAACTGCGTGGGAATTAGCCAGAGCTCGTTTTGCTTTCATTCTTTGCCAAAATGATACAGTTAGTAAAGTTTTGCATTAAGGGATTGGACCGTCTCGCCTTGCTTGGGTTCGTCAGTTGGGACCTTAACACCCACTGCAGCTTCCAAATGATTTTCAAGGGCAGCCCCATGATGGAAGCATTATGGTAATCCATTAATGTTTAAATATTATTTCTCAGCCTCAGGCCCTCCAGCTTAATGATCAGTTTCTTTTTCCTCTGATCCGGAGCTGTTCAGATATCCTGTATTAGCATTCATCTCATCCGGCACACACGGAAAGCTCCAGGTTGACAACTGAGTTAGGAATTAGATGTATTTTATTTATTCATGATATGTGTGACTCTGGGTAGGATACGTCCAGAAAAGTCAAGGAATTTCGGCTGGCAATTTCCAGAAGAGCCTTCTCTGCCATTAGGCCCAGACCTTTGGAACATCTTCTAAGGTGAGATCAGCTCCCATTCTTTTGACCTTCCATAAGGGCTTGGCACTACTACCTGGCTTGGGACCTCAACGGGGGAGTATCACACTGGAGATGGTTGATTAATTAAGAGTTAATCCCACCTCTCCACCCCACCCCGGGTATCCATCCCCCTCCTTCATTTTGTGACAGTGATTTTATTTCATTGTGTTGTCATTTTATTGAATTAGGAACATTTATTTTTGATGGTGTTAATGTTTTTATTCTGTAAGCCGTCCAGAGTCACTTCGAACCAAGATGGATGACAAATAAATATAATAATTTATAAATAAATAAATAAATGAAAATCCAAATCCCCTAGCAAAATAATATAAAAATCAATTCACAGACTGCAAGCATACACAAGCACATAGCCAAGGCTGGAAGAACTCAACAGAATTGGACAAATTCTGCATCCTGCCGCAGGGCCATAGGATGGGCCCAATTTCCAATTTGGCTGATACAAAAGAGAAAACCCAGGTCTTAAATTCTACGACAAGACTAATAGGGTTGTATCTCAAGACAAATTTATTCAAAAGTGCAAGTGCAACAGAGAAGGCACACCTCCCATTTTGTGACATTGTTCAGAAGGAATATGGAGCCTGCTCACCCTATGCAACCCACTGAAATGGGTAGAAATAATGATGATAGGCATATAACCATAAGGCCATAACCCATATAGGACTTTATAGGTGATAACCATCCCCTTGAAATGTACCCAGAAATGGACTAGGAACCAGTGTAGTTCAAGGAGTAGTGATACATGTGCATGGATCAGGTTGTGCCCATTAATACCCATATTCCATATTTTTGAATAGTGGCAGCTTCCAGATAGTTTGATTGTCCTCTAACACTAAAGTGGAAAAGTGTTAAACGTTCCTATGCCGCTTCTTCAAAGTTGAAGCCAAACGAGGAGCATGCTGGGAAACATTGGACAAATTCTGCATCCTGCCGCAGGGTTATAGCAACACACAATATACTCTAAATAATCAGACGAACAATATCGAAGCATTAGTTTTTATAATTTTAAAATTACTGTAGTGTCTCAAATGTGGGTTGGCATCAGATACACATTTTTAAAAGTACTCTAATGATTGGAGCATCTTGCAGGTAGCACTACTATCTGCTTGGGCTTGGTGGCTAAGCCAAGGTAGCCTTGTTTGTTACTTGGATGATGGGTAGAGGAATTCCAGAGATGTTGCTTAGGAGTATCCCAACAGTTGAAGAACATCCCAACAAACCATTTCTGGAAGACTGTGAAGAAAACCACATAGATGAAGTCATGCTCAGGCTAGGGCTGTTATTGCCTTATTTGTGTTTGGAGTAAGATAATGATAAGTAGCTCACTAAGAGCCATCCTCACTTTGTGACAGGCAATGGGAAGATGCTTATTTGAAGATCGCGGCCACTGCCAAAAATGAGCATACGTGCTCATTTAATAAACCCACCAATATTGAGTTCCCCAGGGCTGGGGAATTCTGGGAGTTGAAGTCCTCATATATTAAAAGTTGCTTGTTGTGAAACAATGCTCTCCATGAACAGATAGATACCACAATACTATATGTCTGTACGCATGAATGTGGTTCATGCTATGCAATATTCTTGCTCTAAAATTGATGCAGGCAGGACACTCAGAGCCTTTAAAGTACGAATTGGGAAACTTTTACATATCGCCTCAAAAACAAGAGCTGTGCCTTCTTGTGAAATATGCCAAGAGAAAAACAGACAGATGTTACATTAGATACGTTGAGTCAAAGGAGGAAAATAAAAATAACAAAATTTGTGTGTGAAGACAAGGAACTCAATGGATCTGTTACTGTTGCAGTTGTTTAAAAGACCGAGTATGCTACATTAAACGTACAGCAGGAGCTACAGAGGCCTTGCAGTTGAAAAGCTGTTTTCAACTATTCAGGTTGGATTGAGGAAACAAGTATAACTGCCAGGTTCACATGAATGTGCCCTTCCGTTATATCTAAGAAAGAAAGAAAAAAAGAACAGTTGTGAAATAGGGACATTGTGACATAGCTTTCTACTTCCAGAAGTAGAATTGTTGTATCATTCTTAACTACAGGTAGTCCTCAACTTACGACCGCAGTTGAGTCCAACATTTATGTTGCTAAGTGATAAATTTGTTGAGTTTTGCCCCATTTTATGACTTTTCGTGCCACATTTGTAAAGTGAAATCACTGCCCTTATTAAATTAGTAATCTGGTTAAGTGAATCTGGCTTCTCCATTGACTTTTGACTTTGTCAAGTGGTTGCCAAAGGGGATCACATGACCCCAGGACACTGCAACCGTCATAAATATGAGTCAAGCACCTGACTTTTGATCACATGACCATGGGAATGCTGCAATGGCTATAAGCCTGAAAAATGGTCTTAAGTCACTTTCTTCAGTGCCATTGTAACTTTAGTCACTGAGTGAACGGTTCTTAAGTCGAAGAGTACCTGTATAGGCAAATGTTTCGGCTATAATATTTGATGTTCCCAAGGCAATATTCCCAGAAGCAATTTCAGACTGGATATGTGTTGTGGGACTGTGCTTCAGGCTACAGATTTGTCACAATTCTCGTTGACCGGATGGTGTACTTTCCCTTCATGATTCAACACAAGAGCCATCCAAAAATATTTATATGTGCAGAATGGCAAAGGTTTGACAAGAATGATAGGTTCAATACAGGTAGGTCTTGAGAATTACAGGTTGTGAACAATAATGGTCACACAATGGGTGGGTCCTACGGCTGAACCAATTTCAGGTTCTTGCATCAGTCCCAAGTGTGAACATGCTGGACTGTGAAGGGAACCCATTGTTTGCTAGGCAGCAGTTCTGCTGAAAATGAAGAAGTGGTTTTCTGCAAGACTATCATAAAATGCGGTCATGGGACGCTGCAAACGGCTATGAATACAGCCGTGTGGCCAAGTGCCACAAGTGCAGTGATGTGACTAACAATGTGTGTGTGTGTGTAAACAATTATTGGAACGTTGGATCCGAGTTGCAAGTCTCTTTTGTCATAACTTCATCTGGCCAATATGTGCAAGTTGAAGAGTACTTTTACAATCCGGAGCCCTTGTTAAAGAACAGTCTACATTTCAAAGCAGATTGAGGAACAAAGGCATGAGTTGCTTGGCATCTCCCCTCCAGCAAATGCTTAGCGGTCTCATTAAACACAGAATGTGAACAGGTTTTGCAAACTCTTCCATCCGCTTTCTTAATAAGTATCCTATTTACTGTTTTAAGTAAGTCAGAAGGAAAAAGATTACGCAAATAACAGTAGTTGGGAGCACTGTATAAGCATCAGTCACCATTGCTGTGAATGTCTTCTGCCTAAACTGAGCACACACATAGAGACAGAAAATATACATGTTTTGTATAAAGCTGTTTTTAAATAGCAGTGTAGGGTAGAGTTGGAGTTTTCAAGGAAAATCTATAAACAGTGCTAAGACAAGTAACCAGGATTCATGAGTATCATAAAAATGCTACCAAGGTGAATAAGAATTATGAAAAATATTTCTTTTCCCAGATGTTGGATGAAAAAAAAAGAGGTAATAAGCAAATCAGACCACATTTGTGAATGGTTTTTATCAATGCACACACAAAATGTATATATTTGCACAATCAGAAAAATTAACATCTTGAGGCTGAACACTGTTGGAGGGGGGGGGGGGAAGCAGTTTAGGGGGGGTGGAAGAGAGAAATCTGTTAAGTCAACCACTGAAAAGGCAAGCAAATAACTAACATTATTGCCTGACAGTTTGATAGGAAAGTACTGAATCTGTATTCATAATTTCAGTTTCAGGCTGAAATTCAGTGATTCAGAGGAATGCTGTAGAACTTCAGCTTTAAAAATGTTTATAGAACTAAACACACAATGGTCTCCCAAGTCAGTCAAACAAAATATGTGCAAGAGAAAGAGGCTAATCGAGCTCCTTCAAGATTTCAAGAAATTATTTGGTCTTGGTTATCTTTTGTATGAGATTTTTTTAAAATCTTAAAACCTATTCTTCTGGTGAACACTCTTTCATGGCAGTGTCAACTCATCAAATACAGTACTCTTGTTGTTTCAAGACAGAAAGAAAAGATTAACATTAAGGCATTACACCGAGCTGCACTGTCTGCTTTTGAGAAATTAGAATCTGTTTAGTTAAACTTGAATACATGGAATGTTGGCACAGGAGCTGCAGTGGGCTGCCACTCTCACCAATTCTTGAAATTGTCCTAACATACATACATTCTGAAATGGCTTTTAATTGTACAAATTGAAAACTGGATAAAACTTCCAAGTAATAACTAACAGGTAAAATAGGGGTTTGCTTTATTTTTATGTTATGTACAGAATACATGTCTTGTACTAGGATGGGGCAGGTCAAATCAGCAGCTATAATCTCTAAATTATGCTGCTTTGTTTTATTTTTAACCTGCTGGAGATGATGCGTTCCAAACGAAATGGACAGAACAGACTGGATTTCCTAAGTTGGTTGCACACAATTAAAAAGAGTCTTAAAAATCTACAGCCAAGTGAATGGTAATAATTTGTTGGTCTTAAGCAAAAAAGTTATCTTCTTGAATGAAAACATTCTAACTAAACTCTCACAGCTTTATGAAGATTAATAGCAGTTAGAGTGAACGAACTGAATAGTCTGTTGTAAGTACCAATCTGATAAATCAGCTGAGAATAAATGGAGAGTTTGTCATTCAAAATTACCGTGTTAAATTCCTATTGAAGAAATGTTTACTTACTGAAAACATGCAATCTATCAAACTAATAAGAGAGCTATATTTCTCTATATGTTTGATGACTCCTCTAGACAAAATGTCTACCGATTGACAAGTTGCTACACTTGCGAATCTTTTGATAAGCATACATTATTCAAAACTGATAACAAGTTAATAGTTTCCTTTAGTTTGCAAATCAAATTATGAACTATTTTATAAAGATGTTTGGCTAAGCTGTATACTTTTGCAAACGGGGAGAAACGCTGTTAAAAGAGTGCACCAGCCAACATAGAAAATCCAATTGTTTCTGCACAAGATTCAGTCCCAAACAATAGCTGAATTATGACTGTTCATGTAAAGGTCTAGTTTCTTGTTCCTCCTCTTCATCTTCATCGCCTTCATCTTCTTCTTCTTCACAATCCCCTTCATCAGTTTGCTGGTCAAGCTCCTCTTTTGTGATCATTTCAAAATCATTCCCATTGCCACTACTGTGCTGTGACCGGTCGTCTTCCCGCCTGTCACTGTCCGTATCCGAATTCCGCTCTCCTCCAGAACCTTCTGATCCAAAGCGTTCCTGGCCATCAGCTTTGACATCCTCGTCTTCCTTTTTCTCGCTATCAGATTTCTCTTCACTGTCAGATTTTGTCTGCTTTTTGGGTTCTAGCCGCTCCTCTTTCTTTGAGTCAGCCTTTGGTCCTTTGTATTCGTGTGTGTACAGGGGCCGGAAGGAGTCGATGAAGCCCACGTCCGCGGTCAGGTTGGGTAGGAACCAGAAGTGATGTCTTCCTCCGGTTATCAGCCAGATGAGAAGGAATAGGATGCAACGGGCTGCAAGAAGGAAATGCCCAAATAAGTCGCTTTTAGAATACAGTACACAATAAACACCCCAAGAAGCAAAATCATTGTAATGTTGTTATTTAATCTATTTTTCTATTTCTCCCTTCTATAAACATGACAAAGTGGTTTACAAAATACACAATATTAAGCTGACAGTTGCCCTTAGATACTTCAATTATGTCATCGATTAAAGTATCTCATCAGCCCCACTCACCCTGATTGTTTTCATTCTTAGGTTTGGAGTAAGAGTTTTTCAACACCAATATTATTTAGACTTATATACCGCTCCACAGTGCTTTACAGCACTCTCTGAGCAGTTTACAAATGTCAGTATACTGTCATAACAATCTAGGTCTTCATTTTATATGACCTCGGAAGGATGTAAGGCTGAGTCAACCAGTCAGGATTGAACTCTTGGCAGTCAGCAGTGAGTTAGCTTGCAATACTGCATTCTAACCAAATGGTCTATGGAGGTTCTCAGTCATCTATTTTATTTTATTTTTATTTATTTTTATTTGTCAATCGCTTACAAGATAATAGGTGTAAGTATGTACATAGTTATGAATACATGAAATGGGTACATATAAGAAAAATAAAAAAGAAACAATAGGACAGGGACGGTAGGCATGTTGATGCGCTTATGCATCAGACCTCTTAGGAAAGGGGTGAGGTCAATAATAGACAGTCTAAGGTTAAAGTTTTGGGGTTTGGGGAAGAAACCTCATAGTTGTCCCAAAGGTGCTTTTTCAAGAGGCAACTGGACTTTTTTGTTTTTCTTTGAAGACATTTCACTTCTGATTTTAGAAGCTTCTTCAGCTCTGCATTCTAACCATTGTGCCACCATGGCTGAGTTTTTCAGCTTTCAAATCCCTATTTTTTTGGGCTAAATAACACCAAACAGTGAGGATATTATTTCTGTACAGGAACTACTGCTGGGAAAATTTGGCTTAGCAACCAGAGAAAAGTTGATTCCAAGTGCCTTGAAAATGTATCGACTTTCAAGGAAGAGAGCTTGTTCACATCTTACCACGTATATGTTTACTATTCACCATTGTCCTATATATAAATGTTTCCCATATAGCCTAAATTTTATCATAAGGGGTATTTCTATCTGATAATTAACTATGCGCTAAACTGAGACATTATTATTTATAAAACCATAAGTGTAGATAAAATGGAAATAAAGTAATAAGATTACTTTCAAGATACATTTTGGAAGCGAGGTGTTTTTTTTTAACCCAACCTATAAAATACGGGTCAAAACCCTATCATTGCTTATTTCTGTAGTGTGTTGATTTGGTCTACGGACATATTAAATGTTAAATGTGAATGAATAAATGAACAAAAAAAGAGAGGAAAAATTCTCTGTGTTATGGAGAAGTTGAGCAAGTTGAACTGATCTCTCAATAGGAGAAGTAAGATTTCTGCTTGGGTTTAGTCTGAACATCTGTGAAGTGGAAGGGAAGAGACATTGTCTCTGAATGCCAAGCCTGATACAGAAGGCAGCCTAGGGAACATGTGTGTCTCAACCTCTGGGTCTGATCACATGTCAAGGTGTTCTTCCCAAGAGCTATTACTGAATTTCCCCTCCACTTTCCAAAGCACAGATAGTCCTCGACTTATGACTATTCGTTTAGTGACCGTCTGAAGTGCTGAAAAAAAAAGGGGACTTAAGACTGGTCTTCGCACTTAGCCACCGTCATAGCGCCTCTAGGACCACGTGATTGTGAACCAGGTGCTTGGCAACTAGATTGCATTATGATGGTTATAGCATCCTGCACTCCTGTGATTGCCATTTGTGATCTTCCCCCTGGCTTCTAGCAAGCAAAGTCAATGGGGATGCTGCAGTGCAGGGATTCAAATAATTTAACAACCGGTTCACCCAGGGTCAGGTTGGCTGTCGTGGGAGGTGTGGCCCATCCCTGTCCACCAGCTCCACCGCACATGTGGGACGAGCCTCCCGCGATTGCCAACCTGACCCTGGGCAAACCGGTTGTTAAATTACCACACACCTCCCTGGCTTTTAAGGTACAATGGAGAAATGGGCAATGGAGCGGCTGGATCGAGGGAAGGAGGAGGAGCAAGGAAAAGAAAGAGGGAAAGCAGCCTTCTCCTTCCCTTGCGCTAGCCGCCCCATTGCCCGTTTCTCCATTGCAGTGCAGCGCCCAGGATCCACCTTGATAGCCGTGTATGTGTGTGTGTAATTTAACAACTGGTTTGCTCGAACAGATGCAAACTGGCTGAATCACATCACTGGGGTGCTGGCAGGGAAGGTTGCAAGTTGCAGTGATATACTGCCTCGCTTAACAGGGGCAGCATTTAATGATTTTTTTAAAAATCCCAATTGTGGTCTTAACTTGAGGACTACCCTTAGGGCTTAAATCTTATCTCGGAGGCAGAGAGTGTGTTCTAGAGGAATTTGTACAGATTGTCAACAAAAGCAGTTCAGCACGAAGGTAAACATTTGGATCCATTGTTTTGTAAGTCTGAACTGAATACTCTTTGCTCTTTGCACCATGATGGTGCAGTGGTTAGAGTGCAGTACTGCAGGCTACAACTGCCTACAGCTTGGCCGTTCAAGCTTGTCTCACCAGGCTGAAGTTTGACTCAGCCTTCTATCCTTCCGAGGTTGTTAAAATGAGGACCTAGATTGTTGGGGGCAAGATGCTGACTCAATAAACTGCTTAGAGAGGGCTGTAAAGCACTGTGAAAGTCTACGTGCTATATTGTTATTTTATGCCTGGCTTTTCATAATTCCTAACTAAGCAGAATATGGCTTGAAGTATAAGTAAGTAAGCCTACTGACACTTTATTTTCTGTATACTGTTAATAATGTCATTTTTGCAATCAACACTTGCAAAATTGAACTAGATGTGGCAATCTTTTAGAGGGAGGAAGTTACAGCCACAAACCATATTCTACATACTTTCAAAGGACATTCTGAACATTTATTAAAATTACTGTTAAAAAGCACAGAAAGGTACAGTTCACAACAATTTGTTAAGGGTTATAAATCAAAATGATTAATTTTGTCGGTAATTATTAATGCATAAGTAATTAGAATGATCTGTGATCTCAGAGAAGTACCATGTTTACAGACTTTTGACTTTTTTGCTACAATTAAGGTCTGCTTTTCTCAATCTGCATGCTGCAGTGACTTGATCAATAAACAGATTAAAAAAACCCAAAAACAAATGAAATTGTCTCCCCTGCTGCTTTCCCCCCTTAGTTTCATGCTTTTGAGTTTTGTACATCTAGTTTTATTTCAATGCCAAGTATAGATTCCATTTAAATTGATCCACAGAGATTTGTTTTGAGCTCAAATAAATACAAGTATTGAAACAAAGCAAGTAATTCATCCCCAGATGTGGTTGAAATAAAGAGATACTTCAGAATTATGGACATAGAGTAGAGAATACTATAAATGGATTTGCAAGGCACAATCTAGTCTGTCAGCCATGCCAGACCAGACACTTTTTATCTGACCTTAGCACAGCTAATTAATAACGAGAGGAAAAGGTAAAAACAAAAAATTCTTAGGACAGCAGCAAAACAAATAGAAAAATACCATGCACGGCTCCTAAAACAACTCATGGTGGCAAAAGCAATCAAGTAGGCAAGACTTCTCTCTCGAGACTGATGCACTTAGTTTATCCCCTGAGACAGAAAAGGCAACTGGCATATCCGAATTACTTCTTATAGCTCACAAGAAGCTCATCTGTGGCCAGCTCAATGCTGACATACAGTGGCCACCTAAGAAATATACACACTGGGCACTTTCAATAGGCCAAAAAGTTGTTAAGATGGGCCATGGAAAGAGAAACAGAGAAACAAACCAACAACTTACCAACTGCCAGGAGAAGAATGCTTGCCACAAAACAGCCGGCACCTACGCTTAAATAATAAACTCCCACACGCATCTCCGCAGGCCAAAGTGGGAACAGAGTTGCAGCTATAACAGCAGTCACTGTTAAAAGATAGATAGACATGTATATATATATTTGTTTTCTGAAGTTTTCGTGGGTACTTACATGTATGTTATTCAGCTTTGTTCGGGTATTTTCTCACATCATTATAGTTGTGCTTTTAAAGCACAACTATCTATCTATCTATCTATCTACACACACACACACACACACACACACGTATGGTATTCAGCTTTGTTCGGGTATTTTCCCACGTCATTATAGTTGTGCTTTTAAAGTTGTAGCAACGTTTCGGCAGAATCTCATCTGCCATCATCAGGCTTCTGTACAGTGTTCGTCTGTGAGTCAGACTTTCACAGCCGTTTCTGTTTTAAATTTGGGGCTAGCCTACTGCTGTGTTAGAATGGTTTTTTCTTTATCTTGATTGGTTGGGAGTCTTCCAACCAATCAGTATGAAAAAAACAAAAACCATTCTGGCACAGCAGTAGGCTAGCACCAAATTTAACACAGAAATGGCTGTGAAAACCTGACACACAGACAATCCCAATACAGAAGCCTGATGATGGCAGATGAGATTCTGCCGAAACATCGCTGCAACTTTAAAAGCGTAACTATAATGGCATGGGAAAATACCCAAACAAAGCTGAATACCATACGTGTGTGTGTGTGTGTATGAAAATTATTGAGCAATTTAAATTTGGTTTGGGATGTTTAGCTTTCAGTCTAATTGGTTATATCTATCAACAATATTCAGGAACATGTTATTATGATTGTTTTTAACCTGGTACATCCACTGTGTTACTTGCTTTTATTTGTATAGGAAATGAAATCTTAGGACTGTACAATGGTTTTGAAAGGGTCAATGAAGTGGGTTTTTTTTTCATTTCAATTGGATTGGGCCAAGAGATCTTTGTGAAAGAATGCTCTCGGGGACACACGCACACAGTCTGACTGAAAAAAGTATCAACTTTCCTTCATTTATTTCCTATGTAAAATCAACTGATGTGCAAGTGTGCAAATGTAACTGTCTCTTTAGATTCAATAACTGGTTGTGCCATCTTTAGTTGCAATAATTGCAACCAAACACTTTCAGTAATTGGTGATCAGTTTCTCAACTTATGGTGGAGGAATTCTGGCCTGTTCTTCACTGGTGAATTGCTTTAACTCGGTAATGCTGAGGATTTGCTTGCATGCACTGCTCATTTTGTGACTGGCCCAATATTTCTAGTTATAGGCCTTTAGAATCTATGAAAACTTCATTGCAATGAGGGCAGCTTACGTATCTAACCTTTAAATAGAGCGGGTCTGATTCTGATTGTTTAAAGAGGTACTCACTCAACAGGCCTTAGTTATCTCTTTAATTGAACTTATTTTGCCACAGACACTGTTTGCATTTTGGGTAAATTTCTTCATGCCATAAATGAAACAAGCACCACATTTTGGTATTTTTTTTCAAGTATACACTCATTATAACCCCAGGAAACTCTGAAAACATTCTGTGGCAAAGACACACAAAAATTCAGAAAATCTGAATGGGGAAAATACTTTTGCACATTATATAAATAGTCTATTAGTTTTACCGCATCCCATTCCTAATAAACTGGAATAGATTGGAATTTGGGGGGGAAATGATCTAGCTCCATCCTTGCCTATGCATGATTCCATTCATATTAATAACATTAACATTCTTTAGAAGCATCAGAAACATATTTCATAAGTATATTGTGGTTGGCATCCATGCAATCACCTCACCTTTCTAAGATTAGGGGACATCTTTGAAAATTGCTAGAGAGATAAGGTTTCTATTGTCCATATTCCATTTCAATATCAACCTTGTAATTATAGACTAAAGGTGTAAGACTTGAAATGGAACAATTCTCACTTGTGTCTTTAACATGAAGCAATTCTGAGAAGTGGAAAAGTGGTTTGGCAAAGGGGCTGTGATAAATTTTTCCTAAAATAGTGGTGTAACATGCATATGTTAACTATTATTTATGTAACTAAGCAGCTAGGCTACTTAACAGAATTCCTCACTTCTGAAGAATTTGGTAAGAAGAAACCCTTGCTGTATTTATATAGTTCTAGTTTACTTGTCATCACATAGAACTCTCTTTTGAAAATGTCATTTGGAACAAACTAAAAATCACAATACTGGGGCATACAATTGCTAGCTCTACTATATTGAAATAGTCCAACAGATTCAAAACAATATTTCATATTCTAATATTTAATTGAGACTTAAAAAAGTTTACTACCAACTTGTGTAGGATTTTTTTCCTCTCGTTCTTTACTAGGTCTGGGATTCTGAAGCAGGTGGTACAACATAGTTTTGATGAATCAAGTAAACACTTTAAAAAATGGCCCTTGGGAAAGACACAGATGTGTTAAGAAACAGACGGCTTGTTTATAAGTTTGAATATTTAACTCATTAATGTTCGTTCTGACTCACCAAGTATGAGGCCCATTGCAAATGTTTTAAAATGAACAGGGTCATAGATCCATACGTATACCTGAATGGAAAATGATGATGCAAAAATTAAACCAGGTTCAGAAAGGTAAAGAGTATAGCTTATGAGAAAGCTAACTGGATATTATATATAATTTTCTAGCATTCATTTTGATAATTTCTAGCATGGTTACAGAAAGACACAAGAAAAGTTGTTCTGGACAAGACCAAATTTCAATCTAATCAAGTGCACCGTTTTCCATAGGAAAGTATCATTTCAGTGTTACCCAACATATATGAATTATTTGGATTATATCAATCTAACTAGGTTGTAGCAAGCTGATGGAGATTCTGTTCAACAGGATAAAATTCAAATTAACCAAATCTAAGTTACGGAAACAAGCAAACCTCTTCCTTCAGCTTCATATATAAGAAGATTTCTACCGATCCCAATTTTTCAGGAAAGATACATTATTAATGATATAACTGATAACTCATTGAAAACATAAACTAAAGGTAAATTTACAAGAAGTGATCCATAAATTTAAGAAGCCAGGCTCATATGCCCTTACATACATCGATAATGTGCACTGTTCTGCTTGGCCATGAGCAAAACATAATCACGAGGTTCCAGTTTTATATTGGAGCACTTTATAAAGGCAATGAAGGGGAAACAACCAATTAAGAAGGGGAGAGATAAAAATCAGTAAAATTAGGGTTGCCATATCAAAAAAGGAACTTTTCTCCTTTCACACTACTGAAAGAATTCCTAACTGAGCAGAAAAATAAATTAAATCAGAAAAAGCATATATTAGAGTGGTATCAGATGTATTCATGAAGAATGTAAATTCATATTAATAACAATAGAAGATTCAGAGACTTTAAATATCTGAATACCTGTTCTAAGAAGTCAAATCGAAAGGCTTCTTCCTCTGGGCCAATTTCCTCAAATTTATGGGAAAACCAAGCTCTGGAAGCTGGCAACAGCTTTTAGTTAAAACTAGACAGTTAAAACTAGACAGGAATTCCTCACATTTATTGTAACATTACAAAAACTGCATTGAGCAAAAGACAGAGAAAAATACTTGTGACAATGAGTGTACCCTAAATGAAGAAAACCTGATAATCTATCACTATGATAGATCCAGTATGCTGCAAAACATGTAAAAGGAATTCCATAGCTCTCCTCTGCAATTCTGGGGCAGTTGCTATGCATGCTTTCAGCATGCACTGAAACACTGCACTGCCTTAAATACTGTTTGCTTAATGAATGTAATTCAGGCTTGAAAGAAAATTGTTTAAGGAACGAGAAATTTAGCAAAAGCTGAATTGTAACAACTTCCTAACTGTAAAACTTTATTTTACAAATATAAAAGTATATTTAGGAGGATTACATGAGAATTGGGAATGTCAGAATATTGTTTTAACACACTATTATCCACCAAATATTGTATTATCAATGACTACAGTACCAAATTCTGCCAAATAGAAATATTATTGTAATGGATCCTTCATATACACCCATTTCCTGCAGTTAGTGTTACTCCTAGAAGTATATGCAATTCTTTACATAGCACATGCTTTATTTATTTGACTTATACCATTGGAACTAAGAGAGGCTCTTGGCAATTACACAATTAGTATGTAATAAAATATGCACATTATAAAGACTCAATAAAATAAATATAGTACCACATAAAACAATCTATATCTATTACTTTACATGTATGATTAAGTACATATCCCGAGGGTTATGTGTTAAAACACAGGGATATGTACAAAGGTTGAAAAATCAGTCATAATTTAATTCTTTTTAATTTGATAAATATTGTATTCATATTGTATTCATTATTTATTTTTATTGTTTTATTCCTTTGCTATTGTTATATTTGCATTTCCCCCCTTTTTATTGTTGTAAGCCACCCAGAGTGAGATGGGCAGCAAATGTATTTAAGAAACAAATAACAAATAAGCAGGTTGAGAAGACTTGCATGATTATTTCAGTTATGCATATGGTACAGGATTAGGATTATTAATAAATATTTACAAAAAATAATAATTTTAAGAAAGGGTTTTTTTAAAATGAGATGCCTACAGACATTCTGGGAAACTTGGCAGGCTATTACTGTGCATATTCAATTTTGTTGTTATCATGAAAATGTAAACATTTGGCTTTAAAACTTGCCTAATGGATATGGTAAACTTATGGTAGATATAATTTTAAGAAACTGACAAAAGTTATTCCTGAAAATACAACTTTTGAATTATATCCACTGAACTACAGCTAGATATGTACTGTCTTGCAACAGATAAGGGATTAACAGCAACATTGGTAATCTAGCTCAATAGCTATAGCAAATAATTGCCTACTGCTTTTATATTATTATCTATTATATTTTTAGACAGTATTGTTTACTGTCTAGCTGTGTTAACATTCATAGGCTAATGTAAGTCTCTTGGCCTGAATAAAGAATATATTTGTTCACAAAGAACCATGCCTTCCAGTTTCACCTGTTACTTATTAATCTGATACTGGCACAAGAAGAATCCAATTATACTAGAGAATTTGCCATATTTTATATAGAGTTTGAATACCAGTAAATATTAAGTCTCAATTGATGGAAGCTTGACCTCTAATGGCAATAGAGATGAACTGATGTTTTATAAACAACAATGGTCTGTCCTCATGGTTTGTCCCTATCTCTTAGGGCAGTGATGGCTGATTGTTGTCGAGTGCCGAAAGTGTGTGCATGCGCGTGCACGTGTGACTGCACCCATAATGCAATGCATCCATGACCCCCTGCGCATGTGTACAGGACCCCCCCCCATGAACCCCACCCTCCTGCACATGTGTGCAGGACCAGGGGTGGGATTCAAATTTTTTAACAACCAGTTCTGTGGGCATGGCTTAGGTGGTAGGTGTGGCTTGGTGGTCATGTGACTGGGTGGACATGGCTTGGTGGTCATGTTATTGGCTGGGTGTGGCCAACTCAATATCACTCACATCAAGGCATGCATCTCCTCCCCTGGCCTCTCATGACTGTGGGGATGCTGCAACAGTCGTAAGTGTGAAAAATGGTCATGTCACTTTTTTCAGTGCCATTGTAACTTTGAATGGTCACTCCACACAAGCAAAGTACCAGCAAAAAAGGGGAAAAAACCTCCAGAGACGTTCCTGAGACAGGAAGTCTAGTACTGCCAAGAATGTAATAAGTGTTAATGGAGAGGCAGTTTCTATAAGGGACGCCAGAATGTTTCCTTCCAGCCTTCCTTACAGGATTAGGCCAGTAATTTCTTCTAACAACCGGTTCTCCAAACTGTTTAGAATGTTAACAACTGGTTCTAGCGAATAGGTGCGAACTGATAGAATCCTACCCCGTGCGGGACCCCCTGCACTCCCCCTGCTCCCTTGTGCATGCGCACGTGTCTCCCACATGTGCCCCGCCTCCACGTGTACATGGCAGAAACCCAAAAATCAGCTGGCTGGCAGGAGGCGCACCCACATGCGCAAACTGAGCTGGGGCAATGGCTCGTGTGCCCACAGATACCCCTCTGCGTGCCACTTCTGGCACGCATGCCATAGGTTCACCATCATGGTCTTAGGGTGACACTTTTCATCTAGATTACAAACTTGGAAATTCCTGAAGTTTTCTCATGCAAATTCTTCCAACACTGCATTGGTTGTTTTTTTTTTGAGATCAGCTAAAATTAATTAAGTACCACCAATAAACATTATAGTTTCAGAAGAGATACCATACCTCATTTCCATCCAGAAAGACTTGATCTTCATGAGGCTCAAGTTTAAATTTTCTCTTTGTCTCTTTCTTCTTAGGTGTCCCAGGGGTCTCATCCTAATAGTATATAACGGGAACATGAAGAATGAAATAGAGTTCATAAGTATATTTATTTCTAATATTCAAATTATTTTAGAGATATAAAAAGCCCTCTTTTATTTTTCTACTGCTAATTATTTATCTGAAATACCTAACTTTGGGAGGAAAATTGGATTCAATCTTTCTGCTAGGATATCTTTAAAATTAGATTCCTTTAAATTCATAATTTTCCACTTCATTTCCTCTATACAGATCAAGGAACTTAATCTTAGTTAAAAATAAATATTAGACATTTAGTATGCAATCTTAATCTTATCTTAAAGATCAAGAGCTTTAAGATCTTAAAAATAAAAATTAAATATTTACTAAGCATTCAGATACCCACTGATTGTTCTGCCCACTGAGTCTCTTTTTTTCCTTAGACACAAAGTTACACAGTATGGTGAATTCTAATTAATTGACTATCTTTATTAAACCAAGAATCAAACTGCATTCTTTTGAAACAAACTGACTATACTCACTGGAGCAAAATTTGAAACAGCTCAAATGTTTTGTTCTGATCTGAAAACAAGGCTTTCAAAGCATAATCAAAATGGATGTTTTCTAAGACTGGAATGATTGAAACATTATTATTCAAAACTGCCCAGTTTTGTTCCAAGGTCATGCTGTAATTTTGTTTCAAACTGAGAACACTCAAAATGGCTGCTTAAAACTCATTTTGCCTAAATCTACTATAAAGTCTCTCAATACTATATATCATCAATCACCTAAAAAAAAGAAAGAAAGGGTAACTAGCACTTGATCTAACACTAGCTAAATACTGATAAGGATCATTTAAAGCAGAGATGGAGAAACTTGGTCAATCAGATGTTTGGATTTATTGGTATTTTTAAAGATATGTTATCAGTGATTCGAGTGTCTTATAAGTACTATAACAAACAGGTTGCATCAATATTAAAACGTCTGCATAATTATCTTTTAATTAAATTTAGGAAATTTCAGCTAATACAAGATTCTGCTATTAATATACAGGTAGGGCAGGTGACTTTTCATTACACTATACCAATTTTTCAGTTATACTGGTTAACAAGTAGGTATGAAATGCACCATCACAAAATATACCACCCCAGAATGGCCTGTCTAAATGATCCTAAAATAGGTCATATCCCAGGTATAATCAGAGATTGTCTAGTGAGCGGTCAGAAAAATCCATAAAATATCTCTATAAGTCAATCATTTGTTTTCAGGATCACATTTGCCCTGATGTTGCAAATATTTCGAGCTCTAAATAGTGCTTTCAAAAAAGATATCACCACATGAACTTGAAAAGGAATGGCAGGCACGCGCAAGTTCTGTGGATTTAGTTGTAACTTGGCAAACAAAAAACAGGTTAGGAAATCTAAGTGCACAGATGCATGTTGAGTCCTGGTTTATTTTTTTATGAGTTTTAAAATTAAGATTCCATCTTAACTAAATAAAAGTTTTACAGTACAGCTTGAGTTCAGCTAAACGTGGAGAACTGTGCTCACCTTCTTGCCTTCTTCTTTTTCACCATCCTTCTTTTTTTCCTTTTCTTTTTTAGCCTTTTCTTCTTTTCCATTATCTTTTTTGCTCTTCTTCTCATCCTCCTTTCCGCTCTCAGTCTTTCCTTTCTCTTTTTCCTTTTCTTTCTTTATGTCCTTGTCAGGTTTCATTTTCATCACTTTTAGAGCTCGGTGAAAAAACTGTTTCTTTAGGAGTCTTTAAAGATAATTAAATTTCCCTTTTATTTGACAGATAATGTACAGTGGTATCATAGCTTTTGAAATACAACTCTGACCAAGCAAACTGCTGAATTTAATTACTATTTCTCTTAATGGTTTCTCTAGAATCTAGCAAACCGCACATATTCTTTAAAAAAATTTCAAAGACAGTCTTTGGAAGAGAATTTGAGTTTGGCTCCATTTCGCACTATTTTATAAATCATCTTGGAAATGTGATTAAGAAAAGATCTAAAAATGTATCTACCAACATTCACATTTCCAACTGGTTACTTTTTTACAATGAATGTGTATGTAAATTATTAATTACATGTATAGGGTCATCAATATTAAAAAATAAGACTCATTTTACAATGGTCCTACTCTGATAACCTAACTCAAGAGCAATAAATTCCTCATTAAAAATGATGATTAAAAAACAGTTTCTTCAACATTGTTTTTATGAACAGTTCCTTTTACTTCTACAAAACATAAACATTTAAGTAACAGATTACTGAATACCTTTTCTTCAACTCATATAACCTCTGAAAACTCTGCCTTTCGGATGCAGTTACCAACTTAAGAGTATCAAGTGTGTTATTTTTACAAGCATAACCATTTTCCGAGCTTAGCTGAGCATAATATAATGAAAAACAGATTTCAATTAGTCTGTTTTTAACACACTCTGGATTAAATTAAAACATCCCTGCCCAAAGGTGCTGTTGAAGGAGCAAAATTTTATAAACCCAACTTTTCTCTTTGGAGTAGTCCCCAAAGCTGTCCTGGAGGGTCAAGGGGAAACTGAGAAGGAAGGCTGGGAGCTGCAGGCAAAAGAGAAAGAGATGGAAGTTACCCATCTCATCTCAATCCGGCACAAATCAGCACACTTTGCTATACTTTGCTTAAGGATCTTTTGTGTACTGTCATCTATATGTATTTTCTTTCAGTCAATTGTGTCCAATTCTCAGCAACTGCTTGAACATTGCCCAGCAGTTTTCTTCGCAAGGTAAGGGGTTTGCCATTGCCATCTTTCTAAAGCTGAGGGAATGACCAGCCCAACGGCACCTAGCTGACTTTGTGTCTAAAGTGGGACTAGAACGCTTAATTTCCTGATTTCTGGCCTTATGTCTTAACCACTACACTAACTAGCTCTCACTATAGTTATATTTATAAAGACATATTTAGCAATATTCACAACATTTGCAAATAACTTTCGAATACCAGGATCCTTACCTGTTACAATAATCCACTACTGACTCTCGAGTTGTAAACAGAGCTTCTTCTCCTTTCTTGGCTTTTGCCCACTTAGAATCCAAAAGGCAGTCCACAGCTTTGGAAGCTAATTGAGAGAGAAAGATACAAAACTTTCAAAAGAGCACTGAGCATAAAAATGTGGTTGACCTTTCGTGTTAATTTGATCTCAGTGCATGAGTTGGGCTAGCACTGAGGGGCTTTGGCTTAGAAACTGCTATATTGGGCTAGTGACACTATGGAAAAATAACTATTTGCCACATTTTGTCTTGAACTAAAAATTAGAGATATCAAAAATATGTAAAATCAGGGCTGACATGTGTAAAGGGTTTTCCCCCCACCACACAATATCAGAAAAGAATCATCCATGTAAATTAAAAGGGGGAATAAAAGAAATTAAAACAAAACAAAACAAGGGGGGTATTAAATGGAACAGATTTTTTTTGTATTTGTCAAAACTGTTTTTGACAAGCCATTGATTAAAATATTTAACACCTTTTAAGAATTACACAAAAACAGAAATGCTGTTATGTTCAAAGTCCAAACAATTTAATGCAGTTCCATTATCAAGCTTTTGCTATGGCAAAACGGAAATTTGGTGTTATTGCCTATAGTATTGGCATCAAATTATATGACTGGCTGTCTAAAAGTTCTGAATCACCATGATTTACCAGAACCAAACTCAAGAATTGTTTGGTGGCTCAGATTTTGGATTAAAAAAAATTCTGGGTATGAAAAACAAGGGCAAGGGTGCTATCTACCTTCTCAAAGTAAAAAAGAAGTGAAAGTAGATCCAGAGGACATTTAGAAACAGAAATATATATATTAAATATATGCAGATAGATGGATGGACAGACATAACAAAAAGTAATAAATCTGTTACAAAAGAATTCCAGGTCCAGGTGATGCTCAAATGCAAGCCCTATTAATAGCAAAATCAAATTTTAAATTCTTCTGTCTTTTTTCCCATCAATGATTGCAATGAGTATAAAGCAACTCTCTTTTGGGCAGAAGGGCCATTTTACATCTCTCCTTTGTTTTGGTAAATCAACTACAGGAGGTCTTCAACTTACAACCACAATAGAGCCCAACATTTACGTTGTTAAGGGAAACATTTATGGAGTGAATTTTGCCCCATTTTACGACTTTTCTTGATACTGTTGTGAAGCGAATCTTTGCAGTTGTTAAATTAGTAACATGGTGGTTAAGTGAATCTGGATTCTCCGTCAACTTTGCTTGTCAGAAGGTTGCAAAAAGTTGATCACGTGATCCAGGACAGAAGTGTGAAAAACAGTCATAAGTTACTTTTTTCAGCGTCATAACGTACAGTCACTAAATAAAGTGCTGTAAGTCGAGGACTACCTGTAATCTGGTTTAAACTGTTGCTTCTGGCTTTATGAACTAGAGTGTGTTTCCCACTCTGCCCTCAGCAGTTCACAGTATGGCACACACAGCAGCGCATTTACCTTCAATTTCCCAAATGACTTGTGTTTCCCCCTTGTCTTTAGCTTCTGCCAATCACAGTGTCTCATTGCATCAATTCCCCTTAATCTGGCTGACCCTGATGGTCTTCTCCCATCCCAACAGTCCCTGTCAATTCCATGGGTAGCACTTCCTTTAAGGCAGGGGTGTCAAACTCAAGGCCCGTGGACAGGATCCAGCCCGCAGGGTGCTTAGGTCTGGCCCGCAGGCCCGCCCTGGAAACAGTGAAGGACCGGCCCATGGCGCCATTGCAAGCAAAAATGGAGCTTGGGGGGGGCACATGCATGCCTCCTGGGCTCCGTTTCCAGCCACAACGGCCTCCTGCAGCCCTCTGCCAGTGAAAACGGAACTTGGGAGGGCCCTTCGTTAGAGGCCATCGTAGCTGGAAACAGAGCCTCGATGAGTGACGTCAAGCTGGCCATGTCCACCCTGGTCACGACCACCCAGCCCCCCCAAGGTCAAACATAACCCTGATGCAGCCCTCAATGAAGTCAAGTTTGATACCCCTGCTTTAAGGTACCATTTTCCAGTCTTCCTAGCTGCTGATAACTCTGGCCTTTGTTCCATCTCCCACAAAGCCACTTCTTTCAGCACAAAACAGTGATATTTAGCCTCTTAAGGGTAACAAGTTAGTTACTGTCTGCTGAAGAACGTTGGATTAGAAGGCTATTGGTCAAGCTTTTTAAAATATATATATAATTTTTATTGAACAAATTTTTCACAAGCAATGCAAATATTAGGAAAGAATCAGAGAAAAGTATACACAGTATACACAGATGAAAAGTTTTACATTAGAATTATGCCAAGTGATTTTGGGAAATAGAATGGAAGAAAATGCCTATCAAATTACTATTCTTTCATGCACAGTCCACACACAGTCCACACATTATTTTGAAATCATAATGCCAAGAGAGTTTGAAACATCCTGCATATTTTTAACAAGTTTCACTGTGTTTACTGTGGGTTATTCCCTCATACAGCTGCTTCTAATACTCAATTACCCTTAAATCATACAACTTCTGACAATGACATAGCTTCATTATTTAGATACATACAATAATCAACTTACCAATGAAATAATCAACTCTGTGTCCCACCATGTTGGTAGACTTGGTTGGACAGTTGAAGCGCAGGTATTTAGCAACAGCCTTTTCTTCTTTGAATGGTTCTCCCACTTCCTATAAAAAATAAATAAAGGAAATATGTTTTAGTAGGACATCTTCATTTGATTTCAGATGTTATGAGACTTCTTCCTAATTTTCACAGACTTCATGTATCTATGAAATATAATTGTTTATAAATACTGACCAAGACTGATTGAGAAAGCAGAGGCTTTGAGCTTGTCAATGAACTGCCACCCGTAATTACTTTAGGCTTTCAATTGCCTCTGAAGCCTAAATGCATTTTCTGATGTATTCACTGATTCAATCTATACTTAAGATATGCTCTTAAATCTCTTTCCTGTTCTGGGAAATCCGTAGTTCTTTGTTTCTTCCCTAAGGGGATTAAAAATGAAATTGTAGAACCAGGCTTTTTTCCATTATTATAATAATGGAAATAATAATTTCACTTAATACGGTAGTGAAATTCGCACTGTGGAATAATATGTCTACCTGAACTCAATTGCCATTGTTTGGTCTTTAGATAAGATTTTCAAGTGCTTCAAGTGTGTGTTACCAGCTATTTTGTGTGTTTTACATGCCAAGGTTTAAATTTAGCTATGATTATCTGACTGCATTTCCCCCCTCTTTTTTTACTGTATGTTTTATAAGTTACTTATTTATTTATTAAATTTATATGCTGCCCATCTCTCCTACAAAGATAACTCTTATAGGATTGTTTTACTTATATTTTAATTTATGGCACTCTCATCAGTGCAATCTATGAATATCAAAGAAATAAATGCATTTTAGTAAAAAACAAAAACAAATTGGAAGCTGAACACTTTTACTGTAACAGTTAAGACTAAAACACCAGATTTTAAAATAGTAGCATTAATTTCCTCCCATTATCCCAATTTCCCAGTAAAAAGGCAGGAAAACAGCAAGTAACCAAATGGTAAAAGCATGTAAACAAACCTTGCTTAATTGTATGGCAATGATACAGACGCACAGAAATCCTGTTAAACAACATCTATCTTTAAAAACAAATCATGTGAAACAAGCTTATTGGTGATAGTTACTTTTCTCACTTTGTAAATTGATAGCAGTCCTTATAATATCATATAATACTATTATATAAGGACACAAATCCCATGCACCATATTTAACAGGTCAAATTAATATTTTTTCAAAATGTGGTTTGAACACATAAACAGTCATTGAATTAAAAATTAAAGAATTTCCTCTCCCCATTATTTCTTTAATACAAAGCAAACTATGCAAGAGAGGTTACCTCAGCAAGTGTTATGGAGGATTTGGGAGATTGATAAATAATTTACTGAGAAGCTTTATTCCACAAGAAATTTCCAATTCTACTATAAATATCTAATGATCTGAACAGTCTACAGGGGAATCTGATGAAACCCCTGGACTAAATATTGTTACTATAAAGCTATTAAATTTGTTTTATATAAAAATAAGAATACAGCTGAACAATACTGAACTATCTCAAAAACACCCTTTTTTTTGCTTCATCAGTTACTTCTACTGAAACCAACCGACTGATACATTTTGTTAATCATTATTCAAACAGCAGTATATATGTAAATGCACTTACTTAAAAATATTAAAAATGATAAGCCTTGTGCCTAAAATATATTGCAATCTAAATTTCTACAAGAGCAAGACAACAGAGGGATGAAGCAAAATGTAGTGAAACATTAAGAAAAAATAATAATGTGTACAAATTTAATCATTTATACTTTCCCATATCTTGACTGTCGGACCTGTTTCATATGGAGTAATTTTCCAATATATAGGCCTCAGACTTAAAATATGTTATCTCCGTGAACATTGTTTTTTTCTTTTAGTAAGACATCATGTATAATTAAGACTGACTCAATTCTAACAAACAAACAAACAAACAACTCTATATAGGCAACTCAGAAATAAACTTCCATCACTGCTTTAAATACACTTTTCACGACACTAGTAACAGCTGGCAGAGGAGATAAGATATTGGGCATTGGATTTGCAAGTAAGCAATGCTTCACTCAGAGTTCTGACTACACGTTTACACGATCGATCTGGAAACACTAAAGAATAAAAATCTGCATGAGAATCCACCTACTAGTTCATATGACATGCCAGCTTCTATTAACACCCAACACTTTACCACACAAAATTACTAACCAGCTCATTTTGCCACAGATCAGAAGGAAGCCGTGGCCTGTACAGAGGTGTACCTTCAGGACTTCCACCTACTACTTCCCACATGGAGCCTTTGTGCAGTGGGAAAAAACAAAGATGTCCAGTATAAATACTATTACACCTTACAAAGGTCTTGCAGTTGCAGATTAGGTAACAAAACTACTAGCTGACTAGCAACTATACCTTTCGCTGTGCAAGCTAGCATGGATAAGGAAATGCAGTTATGTAAAATAGGAAGGAGTTGTTATCATAGCTCAACACTCTTACAAATTCACCTCAGTATGTTAACATCCTTTTTTTGGTTAGAGGATTGTTCAGGAATGGTGTAATAGGAAAGGATTACAAAAAGAATGATCTAGTTAAACGTTTTGGAAGGTTTGAAGACTTAACTGACATTTAGTTCATATGTCTAAAAATTCTTGAATCTACTGCTTGAATGTCAGAATCAAGATGGTCATATTAAAAATATTCCTAACCACCATATAATGCAAGTGTTTCCATTAACAAGCCATGTGTTCTAATCCTGACCTAGACATGAAACCATCTAGGTGACCATGGGCCAGTCAGTCTCTTTCATTCCAATACACCATGGAAGACTATTGTGGAGAAAATAGAAGGAGGAAGGTGTGCTGAATATGTTTGCTGCTTTGAGTTATTTGTAAAAGCTCTTTTCCTAATTAGACAATTAGACTGGCACTTGAGGGAAGTCTTTTTGCATGTTTCCCTTACTACATTCGAAGCAAAATGCTATTTTAGGGAGTCCAAGAAAGTTATATAATAGACACTGCTCTATCCTCACTGGGAAATTCAGAGAAACAGCCTCCAGCAAGATCTCAGATTTTGCACTGCTACAAGATAAAAGTATTTGTATGAACCTTCTAAAATGAAAAATATAATTGGGCATCCACATGTACAACCAGAACTCTATAAGGCTGTGACCTGGACATTCCTTCCTGCTCTGCCTGAACAAACTGCCTGTTGGGTTGTTTCAGCCAACCAGAGAGGAAAGCTCAGATCGCTGTCTGACAAAGCAACACGAATGTAAATTCTGTATATATAACATCACATGGATGGCCTGAATATCCCAGATCAGCACCTGATACCAGCAAATGTTTTAAACAATGAACTTTACTTTAAATGCTATTTCAACATCAATAATGATTACTGTCAGGGAAAGAACGGAATTGAAATCATTCAAAAAGAGGGAAAAAGCACAAAAGTGATATGTACGCTTCATAAAATTGGGTAAAATGAATAATTTTCAAAGTAACATTTAGTTTTTCATATTTAAATACCTTGTGTAATTTTAATACTATAGATCAGTGTTAAAATTAATATGTAAGTATCAACAATAGAATCAGTTCAGCATCAATGTCAAAAAAAAGATATTTATCTAATCAACAAGAATCTATCCTTATTTAGTGGAGCATCCAAGCTTTGAATCTTAACACTTAATGTTAACAGAAATCCAAGTTTTTCATATGGTACAACCCATGGGTGATCTTGTAGTGTAAAAAGAGTTTGAATGTTAAATTAAAATCGGTATCAAAATTGTTTTTATAAATGCAAGGTTTTTTGGGACATTGAGGAATACTTCCACAATTTGATTTGCCATTCTTCCACATAAGAAAATGTATGAAAAGCGCAGAGTATCTTAGCGGTTATTGGCATGCACAAAGCTAGTTGCTTGTACTTTATGGAAATATAAATAGTTTAATAGTATTTAATAAAATATGGCAGGCTGGAAAGGGACTTCAACTTTTAGAATCATTACTTTTTCAACAGTTTTTAGGAAACAATTTGTCAATTTAGCAACCAACACTGAAATAATTCAGTAAAGCATTTAATATCAATTCTCTTTTACTATGATTCTGTAGCCACTGTAACTTTCATATTTTTCTTTTGCTGCATAGAAATTGTCTACATTCTGTATCCATTTGATCAGACGATCTTTAGCTTGCTCAGTTTCTGTGTTATACAGTACTTCACCAACAGCTTATAAATAAAGCCTAGCAAGTGCTCTACATTGTCTTTAAAAGATGTTCAAATTCAGTCAAATCTCTGGTTGCTTCATTTTGCTTTTATAATTCTTTAAGGACGATACCTTGTATGTACCTGAAGATACAAGAACCAGTCAGCTGGTGCTGATAATTTGAAAGAGAACATCTTTGAGAGATTTGAGTTTGGCTTTGTAATAAAACATTGCAATCCGTTTCATTCTCCACTGCCTCAATTTCTGTATACTAAAATGTGTCCAGACCAGAAAGCAATGCCTCTCCAGATGGGGATGGTATTGCAACGGGAGCTAAAGCAGGGCAGGGAAGCAGAGGTGACCTTCCGGATCAAAGCACCAAGATGGAACCTTAAGCAATGGAGAGCAGCAGCTCTTTGTACATCTGCCTGTGGTTGTCAGGGTCTGGCTCTTCCGATCACTCCAGGCCGAGGCATTCTTAGAGGGGTGGGGGGTCAAAACCAAGCAACTCCTAGTGCACTTGGGAGTAGTACCCCCTCATAGCCATGACCCCAGCTAGTGCTTTGGCAGACTATGCTCTGCTCTTTGTGCTCTCTCTCAGGACAAGCTGATTATCAAATTTGTCCAGGTAGGGCAGAGAGAAAAGCCTGGAGAATGGCTTTGAAGGACTCCAGTTTTTGAGGGGTCCTTGGTGCTCTCTTAGCTTGCTTGTTTTCTTGCAGATGTTTCATTGCCCTAAGTGACTGATGATGTTACCTAATTAGGGTAATGAAACGCCTGCAAGTAAACAAGCAAGCTCAGCTAGCACCACGGGCCCCTCATGTTCAACCCTGAGCTACAAATAATTCTCCTTTATTGGTACTCCAGTTTTTGCGGTCAACCTAAAATGTGCAATCTTTGGGAATTGCAACCTACAGTTGGAGGAGGACTGCACTAGAAGATGCCACCCCAGATAAACTGAAATGGCAATATCATGCTGCTTTATGTAGCTACATTGCCAATGGATTGATCCCTCTTGTTCTTACCTGTTCATTGGAATAGCTTCTATATTTTTCAGAATAAGCCAACTGAAAGATTATCCTTCATATATTTAGTAATATATAATTTAAAATATAAACTAACAATGATTTATTATTATACCATATGTATATTAATAAGGAGATTAAGTCAAGGCAGTTCAAAGTGGGCAGTCAAAGCAGAATTCTTTGAGATTACCTGAGAATAATTTAGAATTCGAAATGGTTGATTATTAAATTTAGAATAACTAGAAATACTATATAAACATACCGTTACCCAATAATAAAAAAGTGCAATAGATTTTTGAACTCCACATATTTTGGCAGATTAAAAGAAAAGCTATGTCTTAAATTTACAATCATTATAACTACAATATGCACAATCTAAAAATGGAGCAATAGAGACACTTTTCTAGCATCCCAGTGTGCGTATAGTTCCCAATTCTCTTCTGTACTAGCCCCAGCAACTCCATATGTGTGCAAAAAGTATTAATACAAAGAGCTGCAAATATTTATCTCTGCCCTGGCTCTGCGGTGATTTTAAGGCTCCTGATTGCACAGATGCCCCCTCCCATGTAGAGAGTCTGCACCAACGGGGCTTGATATGAAATACATATCAATTTTATCAGAAAATCATTGTTTCTGAAATGTAGGTCTCTTCTCAACACTTCCCTGAAGCGTGCACATACATATGGGCACAAAATTTGAAAAAGCATAAAGTACAATGGATGTAAACACAATTAATACATTGTTTATAAATATAAAGGTTCATAAGGATTATCTTTGAAATTCTTGATTTTAGTATCCAGATAGATTATTTGTAATTTTGTTTTCCTGGAAAGGCTTTCAAATTGAATATGGACTCATTTCCTGTCTTACATATTCTTTATGTAAACTGGTATTTGTAGAGAAGAGTACAGAATACTTATTATAACCAGAATATTTTCCTATATTTTATCTGTAAGTTGTAATGAAGCTTTTCGGCACAAGCTAATTTTTTTGTAAATGAACTTATTTAAAAATCTAATGGATTTAGATTTTTAATTGGATAGAACTCACATTCAGCTAGGCAAAACTAAACAGAGGTGTAATGATTATGTGTTTGTTTAGAAGAAAGCCTCACTGTGCTTCTTAGACTTTGGTGTGGGTAAACAGAACAGGACTGACTGCTTCCGATAAGGAAAAACAATTAACTGAAAATGTGTAACAAACTGGATCTGGTATATAAATCAGTGAAAGTATTTTGAGTATTCAAGTTAAAGTAATATTATTTTCCAATTTGAAAAGCTAATAATATTTGACAAATCATATCTATTTCTATATAACATTTGAATTTTTGCACTTTCCTAGATTTCTGCTTTTTGTGCATTCCAATGATTGCCTTTATTGTCAATACTTTGATTTCAGGTGTAAAGTATTTATTGCTTCTTTGAAATAATTATTGCATAGGCCTTCTCATATATAGCACAGTCATACTTCCTGCAAGTGCAAGGCTAATTTTTTTCCTCATTAAATGTATTAGGCTTGATAAGTCAAATAGTATTATTTATTTCTTACTCAAGTTGTTTTTTCCACATTTCCTCACTTGTTTTTTTCAAATTTATTGTTTGAGTATTTCATCCTGTCAAAGATTACTTCTAGATTAGCACAAATAAAAAGGAGAAACTGAAATCCTACAGTAAAAACACCAATTTAACCTTTTAATTAAGTTTTAATGTTTAATTTTAACTATTCTTACCTCCATTTTATTTTTTTATATTCAGTTTTTATGCTTTTATTTTTTGTACACTGCATAGAGTCCCTGTGAGGGAGATGGGTGCGTTCTAAATTTGATAAAGAAACAAATACTGTATCCATAAATTGTCAAATCCAAGCTTCAAGATAATCTTGTACAAAAATAAAAATAAAATGACCTTTTCTCTGAATTGTATACTCTTTAACAACTTAAGACATTTAAACAAAAATCAGTTAAAATAAGCTAAGTACATATATTGCATTTATCTTATTTAATCTGAGCTTCATGGTTTTTTTTAATTTTTGAAAAGAACAGAATGTATGACTTAAAGGATATTTGAGTCAAACAGAAAATCATTGAAACCCGGCTTCTTCAGGAACTTTATTTCATTATATAA